TACTATACATAGGGCACGTGCTGGCCTCATGAGGAAATACAGTATAGCTAATTCATGGCCCCTGCCCTCTCAGAGCTTACAATCTAGTAAAGAAGGAAGACCCAAATATCAGACAATACAAAATATTACACGATAAGTGCATTTTAAAAGTTCCAAGAATGAAATGCCTTGGAGATGTCTGAGGCGCTCCAGTATCCCTCCTCCCCACTCCAGGCTGCCAATGGTGCCTAAATAATGCAAGGGCTCCAGGAGTTTGGCGATCATACCCAACCTGGCCCAAGATACCTGAAGCCCTCTCCCAGGGGAAAGTGCTTGAATTATTCAAGGCTGTCACAGTGCCTGGTAGGGGCTTCTTTGTGGCTGCTCTGCCCTCCCACCTGCTGCCTCAGGCTTCACTTATTGCAGGGCTAATTAGCTGGGAATCCAATCTAGGTCACACTAGACTGTCCAGTCCTCCCTCCAGATAGGGAGCTCCATGTAGGATATTATGGTCCAGCCTCTGGACTCCAAACTAAAGTAAGGGTCAGGTGGGTTTGGAGGACACCCATGGCAGTGTCCCCAACATTGCCACAGCCTCACTACAAAATTGGGGATTGCTGGAATAAAGCCATCAAGTCAGGGCACTAGAAAGGTATCCTAAAGTAACAAGATAATTCTGGATTTCAAGAACAATAATTAATAATTATAACATTTATATAGCACTGTAAGCTTTGAAAGCTTTGAAAGCTTTGTAAGCATTGTAAGTATAACATATACTATCTTAATTATTCCAACTTCCAATCCCTCCTGTTATCTCTCTCGCTGGTATATATGTCCATCACTGTTCCTTGCTGTCTTTTCTTCCTCTCTTCCTTTCTCTTGGAATAAGAAGAAGCTGGTTCTAGTCCCAGTTTTGCCACTTACTAGCTAAATGACATTAGAAAAGTCATTCAATCTGAGTCTCAGTATTCTCATCTGTAAAATGGGAATAATGCCCACTCCAACAGCTCATAAGGTTGTTGTAAGGATCAAATGAGGTCATACATGACAAAGTTCTTTGTAAATTGGCAAGTGCTGTCCAAGTGAGCTGCTAGTAGTTCTTCCTTAGCAAAGCCCATATCTACATGTTTAAGTACTCAGAATCTTAGAATAGCAGAGTTCTTAGTCTTAGCAATCACCTGGTCTAGCCCCTTCGTTTAATGGAGGAAATTAAGTTCCTTGCCCAAAAGCCAAAAAGTAGCAGTAGGCTCAAACCCAAGTCCTCAGATTTTTCTTTATGCCATATTGCCTCAACAGTCCTTCCACTACCACTTTGAAAGTGGCATTTTCTAGATAGTTAGTTTTCCAAAGGTTATATTTCCTTCCACCCATCTTTCCTAGGTTTTCCCAATAACTACACCATACTCCTAACTCTGTTAATGAAGCCCCAACCCCAACAAATATGAATACCAAGTTCCCCTCATAGCCTTTCCTTCACTGGTGGATCTGGTATCTGGTTAATCAATTTGGAGGGGAGGGACCTATCTGGATTTACTAAGAGTGCTTATTAAACTAGAACCTGGAAAAAATAAAGAAAGTACAACCTGAAGTGAGGGAGGGAAGAGAGTCTAGAATAATATTTTCTAAAGGCTAGTTCCCCTAGGACCACTGTAATTGTTTACATCTACACACCTGTAACTCTTCCTCAGACTCAGCCTTTTGAGGGTTAATAGTATTTTCTTCCCAATAACATATTGAGATAAGTAGTGCAAATATTATCACCGCCATTTTCCAGGTGAGGATAATGAGGCTCAGAGCTTTCAGTGACGTTGCTCAGTTGTTATAGTTGTATCTGACTCTTCCTGGCCCCATTTAGGGTTTTCTTGGCAAAGATACTGGAGTGGTTTGCCATTTCCTTTTCCAGCTCATTTTATAGATGAGGAAACTGAGGCGAACAGAGTTAAGTGACTTGCCTAGAGTCACACAGCTAGTGAGTGTCTAAAGTCAGATTTGAACTCAGGAAGATGACACTTTATCCACTATGCCACTTAGCTGCCTTTCAGTGATTCACCCGGAGTCATGGAGAGCTAGAAAATGGTAGGTAGCATTTAAACCCAGGTTTTCTGATTACAAGATGCCAGTACTCTTTCCACCATACCATGTTGCTTCTAATTGTAAACAGACACACTCTTTTATGTCCGTACTACTCTCTACTGGCTTCCTAGGGTGGTGACTGAATCCTTAGGAGTCTTATCGACTATAATGCTTTCATTTGTTCTCTCTCAACCACCCCTGCCCCATTTGATAGAAATGTGCCAGGTACCCTGGGGACATAATGGAGGCTTGCTACCTGCGTTACCTTAGTCAAGTTGCTTTACCTACACAGATAGGTATGTAAGTGTCCTTATCTGTAAAATGAGAAGATTAGACTAGCTGGCCTCAAGGAGCCCTTCCAGCCTTCAATCTATGACTCTATGACAGATACACTGCCCAGGGGCAGCTTTCCCAGAGCAGGTGAACATGCACACACAACATAATGCCACACCATCTGTAATACAAATGAATGTGTGCTCAAACTCAAGTCCTCCAATTTTCTTTATTCCACGTTGCCTCAAAAGTCCTTACATTACCACTTTGCAGGTGGCATTTTCCAGATATTCAGCTTTCTTTGCCCATATGTCCACCCACCTTTCCTAGGTTTCCCCAATGCCCACACCAGTTACTATAAACATGAATTGAATTTGGTGCTCTCAAAAATCTCTCCCTGTTTGAAATCCTATGATCCTTTGATCCCAGGAATTTATTTCTCAAAGAATGAAGGACCTCTGAGCATGTGCAGGGAAACAGCTCTATGCTGTCCCCTTGTGGTGTCTGCCTGCATCTCACCATCCCTGCCTTGTCCATCTCTGACCACTACCTGTATTTCTGGTTTCCTCCAGGGAAGGGTCTTTCTGATAGATGATCTTCTAGGGCAAGTAGATCCTACTCCTCTGCAGCTATATGACATTTTATTTGGAGTGTGAGCACATGTTCTACATTAGGAAGTAAAGCTTCTGACCCGGTCACCACTCAGTTGTGGCAATAATATTCAATTACCGGGTTCTCAAAAGTGAAAAACTTAAATTTTAAAAAATCTTTTCGCATCAAAATTTTATGTCAATATATTCCTTTAATTATAATAATTCCCATTTCTGTAGCACTTTGCCATTTAAAAAGCACTTCCCTCATAGCAGTCTTGTCAGGTAGGCACAAGTCTCATTATCTCCATTTTTTCAGATGAAAAAGCCTGAGATGCAGAGAGGTTGTGATTTGCCCAAGGCCACACAGCTTAGCAAGTGGTAGAAGCAATATGCAAACTGAGGTCTTCCTTCTGAGTCCAGCTCTCTATCCACTATGCCACATTGTCTCTCTTGGTATCCTTGCTTTACATATGAGGAAAATGAAGTAAAAACAGATGGACCAACTTGTCTGTTGTCATACCATTAGTGTTGAGGGCCAGGCCTCAAACCCAGGCCTTCTGATTTCAAATCCAGGACTTATTTTCTATGGACACTGCTCCTTTCCAAAAGGAAACCTTCAAATTGAAAAATGATTTCTCTTATAGAGTCATATGAGGTGGGGAGTGGGGTGGGGAGGTAAATGTGGGGAAAGTGGTCTTGGAGGCATCCCTCCAAAATGGATTATGCCTACACTCCCTGACTCCTAGGAACTTTTTAATACAGGTGAAAGTACTTTAAAGAAATGCTAAATGCAGCCTTGAAGGGGATGTCAATCAACCAATACTCATTGAATTGAATTGAATGAAATTGAACATCACTTGGCACTGTGCTTACATGTTAGAGGCAGCTGATGACACAATGGAGTGAGCACTGGGCCTGGAGGCAGGAAGATCTGAGTTCAAATCTGACCTCAGACACCTTAGCTCTGTGACCCTGGACAAGTCACTTAACCTCTGTTTGCCTCATTTTCCTCAACTGTAAAATAGCAATAGTAACAGCACACCTTCCTCCCAGGATTATTGTGAGGATCAAATGAGATCTTTGTAAAGCACTTCTCACAGTGCCTGGCTTCTTTCTCTTTCCAGGCAATAGATAGAGCACTGGACTCAGAGTCAAACAGACCAGTGTTTGAATCCTACCTCTGATAGTAACTAGTTCTAGGACCATGGACAGTTCATTTAACCTCTAAGTTCGTTTCCTAATCTGTATGATGGAGGAGAATAAAACCCCTTGCACCTTATCTTGCAGACTTCTTGTGTGACTCTAGGTCGTTGCTTTAGAGCAGGAACATCATCTAGTCCCATGTTTTCATTTAAAGATGAGGAAACTGAGTGCTAAGGTTCAATAGAGATGATGACACATACACAAGCCTCAGCACCACCGCTGGTGCTGAGTCCTTGGCACAGCTGTCCCCAACTACTCACTCAGGACAGGATCATAGTGACCACAAAGTCCAACTAGTTCAACATTCTCATTGTACAGAGGAAGAAACTGAGGCCCAGGGAAATGAAATTACCTACCCAAAGTCATATAGGTGTCAGAAATGGGATTTGAACCCAAGTCCTCTGACTCCAAAATCAGTGCTTTTACTGGACCAGGAGCCTCTCTGTGCCTCAATACCTCCCTCACATTTAGTTTCAGGATTTTCTCCACCAAAGATTCACCTCTACATTGGATATACCCCAGATGTGCTGGGGTTTGGGGGGAGTGGGTCATGTGTTTTTTGTCATCCACCCATCACACCATCTCTAGCCATCCCTTTCCAGTAGACCTGGCCATCCTTTAGGACACTGCCTGCTCCTCCCCTTTTGGTCTCTCCTGTTAGTTAATTTCATTCCAATAAGATACAACCACTTTGAAATCATCTAGAGTTTCCAGAGCCCCTTTCTTCCAGGAGAGGGCAATTCTTCTCATTCATTCTCTTCACAAAACTAAAAGAAAAAAATGTGGTCCATACTTCCCCCAGAACCGTCTAGTTCCTGTAGCCCCCAGGCTTTGTATCCAGGACCCTTGGTCACTATTCAATCCTCTTACTGTCTCTAGGATCATTGGGACCTTCCGCATGGTACTGCAGCAGGTGGTAGAGGAGGGCTACCTAGAAGTGACGGATACTCTGATAGATGACAACAATGCCACCATCAAGGTATGTGCCCTCCTACTGGCTGTCCTTTTTTCATTTGCGGGTCATGGCTAGATAAAATAAAAACAATCACGGGAGTTTCCTAATTTACATGTGTTACTCCATTGGTAAAATGAGGGTATTAGATTAAATCAATCATTCAATAAGCATTTACTGGTGACAATCCCAGAGGGCATGCCATGCCCATCTTCTCATCCTGTGCAATTCTAGGTGGCACAGTAGATAGAGCATCGGGACTGGACTGGAGTCAGGAAAACCTGAGTTCCAATCCAGCCTCAGATAATTACTGGGACCCTGGACAAGCTTAACTCCATTTGCCTCAGTTTCTTCATCTGTAAAATGGGGATAGTAATAGTATTTCCAAGCACATAGTAAGTACTATATAAATATTATTATTATTATTATTATATCTTCTCATAAATCCTCCATAGAGGATCTACCTAATGCTCTACTCTAAAACAGAGGTCTTAGCTCTTTTTATGTTATGGACCCCTTGGGCAGTCTAGTGAAGCCCATGGAACCCTTCTTAGAAGAATATTTTTAAATGCACAAAATGCATAAGATTACAAAGGAAATAAATTATACAGAAATAAAGATGTAATTTTCCCCCTTTGTTCAACTTTATAGACTCCCTGAAATCTGTCGGGGGATCCTAAGTTAAACACCACTGCTCAAGGTCTTTTAGGACCATAACAGAGCCAGAAGAAACCTTTAATATCATCTAGTCAAACCCCTTCATTTTTCTAGATGAGCCCCAGAGAGGTTAAGATCTATGCCCACAGTTAATCAGGTAGTAAGTGGCAGATATTGACCAGGCTAGTTAATATCACAGAATTGGAGCATTAAAAGGGTCATCAATAGCCAATCTAGACACAAGAAAGGAAGGTCTGTGGCTCCAGATGTAGCCCTCTTTCTACTGTATTGCACCAGTACAGCTTTGGGCTGTCCACTTCTGCTGTCTCTTGCTCTACCACCTTACTTTCTGGTCATCTGTTTCCTTGGTGGTGTCATTTACCCACTTCTTGCGTGCAAGAAATGTTGGAGTATTATGAACTGATGATGTAGCGAAAACCCGCAAAACAGATAAAAAAAAATTTAATTCAAAAGGCATCTTAAGTGACTAGCCTGTGCCCAGCAAGGGGGCAGCCTGACATAGTGAAGCTGGCTTTAGAGTTAAGAAAACCTGGGTTGAAATTCTGACTTTGACATCTACTGGTTGTGGGTCTCTGAGCAAGTCATTTAACATCTCAATTATCATTCATCTCTAAGTTTAGATATGGCTGTATTACTCATTCACCTAAGATCAGGAAAGAACAGATACAAAGGAGACAGCTAAAAACCCAGGCTCAGGCTTGCCTAGGCAGGATATATACTTTAGCTGACGTGTGTTCACAGGTGTATGGCATGGGGGAAAGGGGCAATGGGGAGAGGAAGGAGTGCACCCTCCTCACAGGAAATCTTAGAGTTATATGATGCCACTTGGAGGGTTGAAGGAAGAGGGTGAGACAGAAGGGCATCCCACTCCCACTCTGTTGTCAAAGAGTTGGGGAAAGACCAAGGGACCACTTGGGGTTTGCTGCATCATACCAGAGTCAAGTTCTTTCAGCACTGAATTACATATGGCCCTTGAGTCCCAAGAAGTGTCAGGGGAGCTCCAAGCACGTACTTCCAGGGATGACCCCCCTATAGACCAAATCCACCTCTGCAACTCTAGGATGATAATCAACTCTTCTGGAAGACATATAGGCCTACTTGCTCCTTACTGCCACTTCCCCCTGCTGCTACATCAATATACTTTCCTCCTTTAAGGCTCCATCCAGATAGGTCACCCTATCCAGATCTTGGTAAGAGTGTCCCAGGATGTCCCCCATGCCACTTTTTTTCTCTCTCAAGGAGTTCAGTACTTGACTGAGTCTCCCTCTCCACTCCAAATTCTGTCCTCATACTTTAGGTCTTCCATTATACATAGTAGTATCCCCTCAGGCACCCTGGTTTCCCAGTTAACCCCATTTCCTCACTCTCCATGACATGCATCTTCACTCCCATATCCTTTGCTTTTGCCATCATGCTGGAAGTGGTCCTACCTAGATGAACACTCCTCGGTCTCCTTTGCTGGGTCATCATTGACATCCTACCTTCTAACCATAGGTGTCCCCCAAGGCTCCATCTTTTCTCTTCTCTCTTTGTCTCTCTGTCTCTCTGTCTGTCTCTGTCTCTGTCTTCTCTCTCTCTCTCTCTCTCTCTCTCTCTCTCTCTCTCTCTCACACACACACACACACACACACACACACACACACACACACACACACCTCATCCCACATTTCCCAGTTTTACATCAGCTATTGCCTCTTGAAGATCCACACCTGTATATTCCATAGTCATCTCAAAATCATGGAGTCTCAGGGCAGCTAGGTGGTGCAGTGGATGGAGCATCAGCCCTGGATTCAGGAGGACCTGAGTTCAAATTCAGCCTCAGACACATAACACTAGCTGTATGACCCTGGGCAAGTCACTTAACCCCATTGCCTAGCCAAAAAAATAAAATAAAATAAAAAAATCACAGTCTAAAACAGAACTCATCATCTTCCTCCCTCAACCTTTTTATTATCTAAACTTTTCTATTTCTCTAGAAGGTGCCAACGTTCTTCCTAGGTTCATACCATGGGAAACATCCTTAACTCTCCCCTTTCCCTCAGTCTCCATATCCAAATGGTTGATAAATCTTTTCAATTATACCCCTGCAACTTCTCTAGTACCCTTCTCTTCTCTCACACAGCCATCATCCTAGTTCAGGCATTCATTATGTCCTTCCCCATATTGTTGCCCCTGCCTCCTAGTTAGACTCCCCATTTCCCATTTGCTTCCCCTCCAATCCAACCTCCACACAATTGCCAAATAATTTTCCTAAAGCACAAGTGATGCTATGGTTTCCATGTGATTAGGAAACTTCAAAAGTTCCCTATTGCCTTTGGGATTAAATACAAACTTCTCAGCAAGGCATTTCATCAATCTGGCTCTGATATTCCTTTCTAGGATCATTACATGTAAGTCCCTTTCACAAACTCTGTGTTCTAGAAAAACTGACCTATTGCTGTTCCCTGAAACCAACACTCCATCTTCCACTTCAGTGCCTTTGTGTAGGCCTGGAATGTACTCCCTCTTCAACTCCACCTTTCATCCTCCTAGCTTTTGTCAAGGCTCAGCTCATGATCCATCTCCTATAGGAAGTCTTTTCAGATCCCCTAAGCTATGAATTCTTGTTCTCTCTTCAAATTCTCCTGCATATACTTATTTGTTTACCTGTTGTACCTCCTTCTTCCTCCCCCTATACCCCCCAGTAAAATGTAGCTCTCTGAGGGAAGGGACTGCTTTTGTCTCTGCAACCCCAGCACCTAGCACAATAGCAACAGTGTACTTCACACAAAGTTGACATTGAATAAATGCTTTTTGATGAGATTGGATTCTGATCCCAAGTTGCATGCTATTTCCAGTAAGACATATTATTTCTCTCTCCTTTTTTATTATTCCTTTGCCCCCAGACCTCAACCTGAACCTCTGACCTGGGCACTTGGCCGAGTAAGGGGACAGGGGAACAGAGAAGGTAGGAGTCACCCCAAAGATATTTCTTTAATTCCCTATTGATCGTTTTGAGAATCCTTCAGCCCCATGCATGAGCCTAAAGGGACAAATAGCCATCTTATAAAGGAACTAAGGGCAATTAAGTAATACTTCAGCACCTCAATTGAAAGAAAAGGTATCTAGGGTAATCCCTCATTGCATTGCTAAATGATGAATGAAACTGAAGCACAGAGAATATGGTTAGTAGGAAAAGAACACAGAATTAAGATTTATAATTCTTAAGGCCATAGGCAATGCTCATTCTATGATTTCCTCCTTCTCAGAGGCAGCGTGGATTACTAGAATGAATGGAAGATGGATGGATGGATGGATGGATGGATGGATGGATGGATGGATGGATAGATGAATTTGAAAAAGCCAAATCTTGGACTTTCTTCTTCAACTGACACCATTCATCTCTGCAAACTGAAGGGTTAATACACAGAAAAAGGGTTAGATTTGTCCTATTTGGCTCCTAAGGCAGCATAACTAGGACCAATGAATAGTAACTACAAGGAAGCAGATCTGGGCCCAATGTAAGGGAGGAGTTCTTGTCAATGAGACCAGCATCATAAAGCACTGAATTCCTTACTACTGGACATGTTCAAGCTGAGGCTGGATGCTATTGGGAAAAGAACCATAGACTCAGATTTAGAACTGTGAAGGGACTTTAGAGGCCACTGAGTCCAAGCCCTTCATTTTAAAGATGAGAAAATTGACGCTGAGAGAGGTTAAGTGACTTGCCCAAGGTCACATGTCCAGTAAATGTCTGAGGTGGGACACAAACTCAAGCCTCCCTAAATCCAAGTCCAGCACTGTACCCATTGCAAGGCCTGACTATCTCCCATTGTCCCCATAACCACCCAGTTCTATCCACCCCAGGTTCCTAAGAGGTGATCTCTAAAGTTCTATGATGCTAAGATCCGTGAAGCTTTCTTGTGGTTTCTCCCTTTAGAGGCAACACGGAGCAGTGGCTAGAGTGCCGGAGTTTGAATCAGGGAGACCTGACTTCAAATTCTGACTCGGATACTTACCAGTCATGTGACCCTGGGCAACTGTCAGACAACATCTCTAGGACTTACTTAATAAGTGAGAGGCAGCTAGCTAAAGTCTTGAGCTTAGAGTCAGAACAACTTGAGCTCAAATATGGCCTCAGGTATTTACTAGCTGTGTCATCCGAGCAAGTCATTTAACTTCTATTTGCCTCAGTTTCCCCATCTATAAAATGGAGATAATAATAGCATCTATCTCCCAAGGTGGTTGTGAGGACAAAGTGAGACAACACTTCTAAAAGGTTTCATGAAACTTAAATCACTATATAAATGCTAGCTTTTATTATTATTATTAAGACATAAGAGGTTGTAATCTTACGGAAGAAGTTCCTACACCCAAGACCCTTCCCATATTGCTTTTTAGATGAAGGGTTGGTAAGTATCTAATACTGATTTTCAAGGTTGGCCTAAGGGGAGTTCATGCAGTCATTAAACCAGAATTTATGGGTAGCTGATTTTTAAAAACCATAGTTGGAATCTGAGCAATGGAGAAGACATCCATTTCAATTTCCAAGATGCCTCAGCCCTCTAAGGCATATCATGAGGGGACCACAGCTTCTGTCTCTTCCACTGCTGCTTCTCTCAGCTTCCAAGTATTCACATTCTGTCTCTACTCTCTCATTTATAGACCAGCATATGTGTGGAGGTCCAGTACCAGGCAGCTGATGGGACCGTGGGCTCCTGGAATGAAGGCGAATTCCTTGGGAATGACTCTCTACAAGGGGAAGAGAAGGCCAGCCAGGAGACAGATGGTCTGCTCCCAGGTTCCCACCGCGGTTCCCGTCAGCCTGGGGAGAAGAGTTTTAGGAGGTAATAAGAAGGCAGCTGGGCTATGCTGGGGGCTTTCCAGTATGTGCATTGGGTGGCTCCATCCTGGTCACCCAAATGGTGCCAAGAATTGGGCCCCCACACCAATCACCTTCCCTGGAGGAGGCACATGCTGATGTCTGTGTCTCCATCAGTAGCATCTCTGCTCCAAACCTCTCTGCCTTGTGGATAGGAGAGATCCTGGGTTCTGGATGTCCTCAGATGCCCTCAGGCTCTTGTATAGCATATAGGCTTACAGGCAGCAAGTCATTATGGACAGAGTACTGGACTTGGGATTCAAACACTTCCCTTAGAGTCCTGGCTCTGTTTATAAGCTGTATAACCTTGGGTGGATTACCATCTTTGAATCAGCCATATCTATAAAATGGGAATATTAATACCCACCTAAACTATCACCCCAGGGCTGTTGCAAGGCTCAGATGAGGTAATGTAAGCAAAGTGTTTTTGCAAGCTAAACAGCTATATAAATATTAGTTTTTGTTAGAGGTGCTTGAGAAAAGATAAACAAGAAGAGCAAGGCAGTCTGGCATTGATCCGCCCCTACCCTCTGGCAATTTCAGTCTTCAGAAGTCAACTGAGAATCATGTGCCTCATATGAAGTAAATTGGCCTAGAGAGGGCAGGGGTCTCATGAGAAAGAGTTAACTTTCTCCTCTACCCTGAGTTTAGGAGACATTCTAGATTTGGGTGTCTAATGTGAAAAGTTAGGCACTAGGTCCTAAGTGAGCCCACTAGCCACAACAGGAATAGCTGAGCGTAACTGATGGTTTCCAGAATTGGGATAAGCCTTTGAGAGACCATTGCTTCTGGCTCCTTCCCGGGCAGGACCATCCCTCAGGCATTTCCTGTCCATTCAGGAATGGAAAGCTCGCCTAAACCCTGATGAACCCTGCTTGTGGCAGGAAAGTGAAGGTGCCTGGGGCAACCCTGACAAAGTTTTCAAAAATCATTCACCTCATTGAAAAAAAAAATCCTCCTCTCCCTGGACAAATCTACAGGGCCCCTTCCTAGTCATCTCATTTACTTCTGTTCTCCTTATACCACCAGGCTAAGATCCAGTCTGATCCCACAAGCATTTATTACATGCCTACTATGGGTCAGGCATTGGTGCTAAGCCCTAAACATACAAAGACAAAACAAAAAACAGGACCTGCCTTCAAGGAACTTACATTCTAAGAGAATGAAGGCCTCTGCCTACAGTGAATAAGCAGTGATTTCCCAGAAGAAGAAGAAGAAAAAATCCTATAAAATCAAATTTTAAAAATTAACTAGAGAGAAAATGACCACACAAAACTCTTCATTAGGAACAGGCCCAATATCCACTAGGACCAGCCCTGGGCCCATGGTGTGTACTTTCTATTATCAGACCAACCTGGGGCTCTGCTTCCCTTTTACTAACATTCAGAATTTCCTCCTTTTAAAAGCAATACAGAAGTTGAGAGAAGAATGGATGCTAGGATGGGCATGATGGGACAGAGAACCCTAGCAGTGAGTGAGGAGACGGCGTTTTAATTGTAACCTCACTCCTGCTCAAATGGAGAGTGGTTTTCCCTAAAGGACAGTCCTACAGCCTGCAGGCTGTGTATGAAGATGTGACTCCTGAATGGCTGAGAGGCCACTGAGCTGAAGACACTGTGCACCCATGTAAGTGGGCAATGGCTTCAGAGACACTGCAAAGACATCTGTATTCTCTCAAACTATTCCTCTGAAGTCTCTCCAAATTCTCAGCCCATTTATGCAGAGCCTTTGGTTCAGAGGCCACTTAGCCAACCAGGAGTCACATCTCCCTCTTCATATGCAGTGCATGGGTCACAGAGTGATACTTCAAGGAAAATTGCTTCAGACTTGGGTGGGAATAGGGCTACCAACTTTAGTCAGCAGTGACCTCTTCTAAGAAAGTCAGGCTGTTAGCTGATTGATCACTTGCCACTGTGTTAGTTGGAAGGCAAAGGGCAAGCGCAAAGGTCAGAAGTATCTGAGGAGACCCCCAAGGAATCACAGCTGTCTGGTAACCAGAGCAGCCCCAAGTAACTGGCAAAGCCCCAACTAGCCTCAACTTTCCTTCAGGGAAAGGAAAAAACTAGCTGCACAGCTTTCTTCTTTAAAGCACAGTGTTCACAAAAACAGCACTTAGAAATCTTGGGATTCTGCCCTAAAAGCTAGAATAAGGGGAGTGAAAAAACCTACCTTAGTCCACTCTCTGAGGTGATGAGACATGAAGGGAAGTTATCTTGCATCTTTTGAGCCTCAGCTTCTACATCTGAAAACTGGCTCCCTATGTAGCCAGGGGGTACACTTTTAAACTCCCTGGACCTCGGTTTCCTCAGCTGTACAATGATGATCTTTAATGTCTCTTCCAGGTCTAGACCTCTGATCCTGTGATCTTATGGCAACTTAGTGGAATCTCTAAGGGGCCACCAAAAGAATATCTTATTCTTCAAATATTATGAATCAATCAATCAATTAATCAATTAATGTTTATTAAGTGCCTACTGTGTACCAGGCACATTTGAAGGCATAAGAACCTGAGGTATAATGGTTAAAAACCCAGAGTAATTAGGTACAAGTAAATTCCCAGAGTAGTAGTAGGCCACTTGATGGAAAGAGTCCACTATTTAGACCTAGGTTCAAATACTGGCTCTATTTTACTACTTGTATGACCTTAGGCAAGTCACTTAAGCTCCATGGGCTTCAGTTTATTATCTGTAAAATGAGTACATTAGACCAGATGGACTCTGAGGGCCTATTAAGCTTTAAATCTATGATCCTGGGACTTTCTGTTATGTTTTTTTCAAAGGAGGAAGTATTCCCTGCATTAACTAGGCAGTGAGTTAATCCAAGCCTGATTGGTACCTAAGCACCACTTAATTTTATTCAAAGACCAACTATTCTTACAAGGCGAGAGAAACTGGCCAAATGGATTCAAATCTTGGCTTTGATACTTACACCTTATGTGACTTTGGGTAACTCATCTGCCCTATCTGGGCCTCAGTTTCCACAGTTGTAAAATGGATACAGATGAAATAGATGATCTCTAAGGTCCCCTCTAATTCTAAATGCTCTGATCCTAAATGTCACCTAAAAGATCCTTGGGGGAAATGGTCTTAGTGAATACTTAAGGGTGGCTTGTAATGAGCACAGGGAATGACTGTAAGTAAGCAGGTATTTCTAAAATTTTCTCTGGCCTCAAAAAACAGGTTTCAATTCATTTTAAACATTCTCCTTAGAATCAGGTCTAACTTACTTCGCCAACCTTTGCTTTGTAGACCAAATCATCTGAAACAAATTCTAACTGAGGAACATCTAGAAGAGTTAATGTGATTATCTCCAAGGCCATATTCTTCTCCCTCTGCTTCCCTCCCTTCCATACCACCCTATCTCTAAGACAACAAGGGGCCTGGAATAGGGAGATGATGAAGGATGCTCGTTGTTGCTACAGCAGAAGCAGCAAAGGCTATTACAGTGGGGTTAAGGTTAGAGATTGAAGCAACACAAGCCTGAGTACATTCTCGACTATGCTTTGGGCTCTTCCTAAACCCTGGTCATCCCTTCATCCACTGTAAACCAAAGAGGAGTGATCACTTGTAAGGCTGGACAGTAGGGCCAAGAAGGGAAACATAATATGGTACAGTGGAAAGAGCCCAGGATTTGTAGTCAGGGGGCCTGGGTTCAAATCCTGGCTCTCTGCAACCAGCCACCTGTGTGACTCTAGTCAAGTCATTTCCTTTCTCTGGGCTTCCATTTCCTTATCTATAAAATGATGAGCTGGACTAGTCGACCTCTGAGGTCTTTTCCAGCTCTGAAACTACGATCTTGTGAAATAGGCTGAGAAAAGTTCATCTGAGGATTTAATGACCATCTATACATTTATAAAGAGTCGTTCCCAAATGATATCCACTTCCACCAAAGGGAAAACATGAACTGGGGTTTCAGATTGGGTGTGAGAACTTCTGGAAGGTAGGATGGCTTGGTAGAATGAGACAGTCTGAGACTGAGCTGAGCTCTAGTCCTCATTCTGCCATTAACTGCTCTGTGATATTGAACAAGTCATGTAACCATTCTTGGCTTTACTAAATGGAGATTTGGGGGGAAGTGACCTCTAAGATCCTTCTAAGTTCTGACATTCTTTGATTTTAAGTGTCCTAGGAGGACTAAAGAATCCACTGGTGGGCTTACAAAAACCCTCCTCTTGGAGGCCTTTAAGAGTAGGACAAAAGCATTCTCTCTAGGACAATTTTAACGTCATCCAGTTGAGGAGAAGGAGAATGAACTCTGTACCAATTCCTCCCTTGGTCCTTTGGGGGAGGGGGGAAGCGGAAGGAGATGATAGGGAAGGTGTCTAGGTGAGAGATGAAAAGCAAAGTTCGCCATGTACCTCAGCACAAGTTTCCAGGGTGGTAAGAGTGGGCGGTCTAGGGTGTGGGAGATGGAAAAGAGCCTCTGGCCCTCATAGACAGGTCAAAGGCAAAACTTCAACCTGCCCCCCTTCCATCTTCATGTGGCCACTCCCAGGTCAGAAGAAGAGGAGGAGGAAGAGGACTTTTATCACAGTGAGAACAATCTGAAACAGGGTGACAACAACAGCCAGTGCTCCCTGACCTCCAGGTATCACCGCCACAGCCTCAGGATGTGTGTGTGTGTGGTGTGTGTGTGTGTGTGTGTGTGTGTGTGTGAGTGTGTGTGTGTGTGTGTGTGTGAGTGTGTGTGTGTGGGTATGTGCACACCTGTGGGGAAGTCAGTACTGGGTTTGGAGTTGAAGGCCCTGAGCCCAAATCTTGGCTTTTCTATTACTACCTGTTTGATTTGGGGCAAGTCACTTGCCCATTCTGGGCCTTGGCTCCTCATCTGTAAAATGGGGCAATTGGATCAGATGACCTCTGAGGTCCCTTTCCACTCTAAGCTGATGACCCTATGACCCTAGGTCTTTGAAGGCCCCTTGCAGCTCTCCATCTGTGCTCCTATGACCTACCTAAGAGTAGGACT